AGAAGGAGAAGGAGAAGGAGAAGGAGAAGGAGAAGGAGAAGGAGAAGGAGAAGGAGAAGGAGAAGGAGAAGGAGAAGGAGAAGGAGAAGGAGAAGAAGGAAAAGGGAAACAAAACAACAATAACAACAACCAGCCAGTAACTAAAGTCAACCTTCAATAAAAGAACCTAGCTGTTGGTGAGACATAAGTGAAGGAAACATGAGTGACCTAGAACAGTGAACTGGTAGAAAACAGGCAGATGGAAATACCTGACCCCAGTTCTTAGAAAGGGGGAGGAAATTCCAAAAAGCATCATCAAACATGTAGAAGGTTTCAAGAAGTTGTCTATATGTCCGATTGGAATCCTAGGAAGTTGTCGATGGAAACCTGAAATGAGATCAAGTTGGAAACTATAGGTATTATTTGAAGAGCTAATTCACAGCTAAGAACTTTCCAAAGCTGATTTAATCAAGCTATAGATTCCTGGAGAGAAAGCTCAACCTGGAACTCCAGGCCCTGCTTTCTTGGCCAGGTTACTTCAGTCATCCCTACTGAATGTTATAAATTCCTGAGTCGATGATGTATTCCTATCTTCTTCCTGTTTCTACTGCCACTTGATATTTATTTATTTATTTGTTTGTTTAACTTTCACTTGCTTTAAACTTAATAAATTCACCCACTCAAAACTGAAACTATGGCTGTCATAAGTAATCCTCTGAACACTTGAAAATAGTCCTTGCCACTGAGATATATCACCAGCCCTCTTTAATATAATATTTCTAGTTTTAAGACAAGCTCTCATTTCATTGCTCAGGATGGCCTGGCCCCCTGGAGCCAGGCAGGCCTTGAACTTCATGTCTCATTCTCAAACATAGCTAGAATTACAGGCCTGTACCACTCACTTGCTCAGCTTCTACCAAATTATGTTAAATTAATGGTCTTGTCTTAAAGCATTAAAATCTCTCATTTGATTTTCTTTCTTTATAGCATTGACCTCTATCTCTAATACTGTACTAAATACTGTCTATTAGTATTAATAAGCAAAAAAAAAACTTAAAGAAAAGTAACATTACAGAAGAAAGCAAAAACACCAGAAAGTATCTGACAAATATATACAGAGAATAAGTACCCATTGAGTGTTCATGCTCGCCCATGGAGTGTTCGCCTATGGAGTGCTCACCCATGAAGTGCCCACCTGTGGAGTGTTCACCTATGGAGTGCTCACCCGTGGAGTGCTCACCTATGAAGTGCTCACCTGTGGAGTGCTCACCTGTGGAGTGCTCACCCAGGAATGAGGCATCTGTATCACAGCCTTCACTGCAAGGTTTATGGACCATGAGGGAGAGGGTGTGGAAAAAAGTGTAAAGAGCAGAGGTCAGGGAAGACTGAGGAGAAACAGTGTTTTTCTGGACAATACAGTAACACTGCACTCACCAACCCATGGAAGCTGTGGTTGTCTGCACAACACGTTTGCAGGCTCACCCAAGCACAATTCCAACACAGAGCATGAAAGAGTTCATGAACCCCCACCCCAGCTGAGGGACTATGATATTTGATGACTTCTTCATGAGGGATATTCAGGCTTTTGGTGGGAGGAGGTGTGTGGCCCCAGGTTAGTTGAGTCTGCTCCTGATTTGAGTGTAGAGAGAACACAAATTAAACTCAGTGGGTTTTCCTTTAACTAAGTTAGGACACGACAGTTAGAAGAGAGTGAAGGATCATTACTGAAGGCCTGAGGGACAAATATGATCAAAATACATTGTATGCATGTGCAAATTCTACAAGAATTTTTTAAAAGTTGTATTTAAGAAGCATGGGTCAGGAACTGTATCTAGTGGCCAAAAATGCACACTGAACAGGCTCTGGGCTCATTTGGATGGCAGGAACTATTTTTCCATAAGAGGTGTGCCCTCTAGGAAAGGCACAGTCTTATAATGAGCTTAATCTTAACCTCCTGGGCACAAGCACAACTCTACATAAACTTTTTTGACATTAGTGATTCTAATCACCGATTGTCCCTTGTCCCCTGTGCACAGCCTCAGGGACCTTACAGATCAGAGCTGCTATGGCATCCTTCTTATTAGCCTTGCTATACCCTTTTCAGCAGAGACCCACCCTGCCGAGTGTTCACTGATCTCCCGGTCTAGGCTTCAGTGGACTTCAGAAGGAAGAAGCATGCGCCCTTCTGTCCTGTGCTCCCAAAGGCTTATTACTATGGAGATGGTTACCTCAACAGAGGTGGGCTCTGACAGCTGGATGAATCTGGAGGAAGCTAGACACATGGCTGGCTCTAAGCTAATGACCAAGCGGGGCTCCCTCTCTCTGCACATTCAGTAAGGCTGTCTTGGGGTAGAAAGAAGTAAAGTTCCAAGGAACCTCCTACCCCAAACCTTCAAAATACAACTTGTCATAGAAAGCTTCAAATTCTCACACTTTTGCTGCAGGAGCTGGGACTATGCTTGTTCAGCCTGGGGAGTTATCAAGCCTTAGCCTGTTGCCCCATTAGCAATCCCTTCAGCTCTCCTCTGTTCTCCATCTCGAATGGAACCATGGGTTGGCCATATCCTGCCATCCACTCCCTTGGATCTGAGTTGGACCGTTGTATCCAGCTTCGACATTGTTGCTGAAGGGATCTTTCCAACATGCACATCCAAGGATATCTCTATGCTAAAACTTCAGAAAGGCTAAGGATGTTGTCCAAAATCTCTCAGCAATGATCAAATACATCCCCACCAGTATCACACGTTGCAGCACTCTCTGTTCCCATCTCCTCTCTGCCTCCCTACTGTGTTGATTCCCATTCCCAGAACTAGCTCAGAATGCATCCCACTGGCAGCCAGGTAATGCCTTCTTGCAGATCCGGAGGCTCGCAGGAGTCTTTGCTGCCTGCAGAGTAAAGGCCTTGCTCTCTGGGCCTTTTTCTCCCAAGATGCTGTGCAGTCGTCACACTAAAACAAAATTGCTAGAACCGAGTTTTAAGCGATATATAGCCACCATGCGGGTTTTGTTCCGTTTTACGTTCAAGGCAGGACACATTCGCAAAACCCATTGAGTCAGACTCAGTGTCCACGATGGAGAAACAAGTGGGTGGCTTGTGCTTCTTTGGAGGGGGCGCTGGACAGCATGCTACGGCTAGGGGGTAGTGGGGCGGGACAGACCTGTCCCAGGACAAGAGCGGCAACTCACAGGCCAGTTTTGCTTTCGCTCTGAGTGCATTGGGCGGTGGGACGGTCCCGAATCTCTTCAGACGGGCACTCCGAGAGTTAATTCGAAAGCGCCACCCGCCTTGGGGGCGATCAACGCACTTGTCCTTGAAGCTGATGTAGAGACAGAGAGAGAAAGCAAGAGACACAGTCCTGGGAAAGTCCTGCCGGCTATCCAGACAATTATAAAAATGTGTCCCCCAGGGTCAGTGTTCCAACCGCCTCACCCTCGGCATCCAGCTGCTCCTCTCAGTGCCGGTCCAGCATGTGTCAATCACGCTGTAAGTAGCTGAGGGCCGGGAACCTGGGTGACCTTATCAGAGAAGAAGGCCCAGGAAAGAGGAGACAGGAGCCCTGGACCCACTAAGGGAGATTAACGGGTGGCCAGCAATTGCAGGCCAAGGGAAGGAGGAGAGGAAGGAAGGTCGTGCTAGATTGCGCTGCACCTGGCATGCTCTCCTCATTATAGAGCAACCCGGGGCGCTACCGCTATGCTCATTTCACGGAAGAAAACTAAAGCCGGGTCTTGAAACTAGAGTAAGGAAAATGTAGGTCTCAGCCAGTCCCTAAACAAGATCTGGGAGGTCTTGCTCCTTCATCTGTCATCCCTGAAGAAGGAGTTAAATCATGGGTGGAGGGAGGTCAGTACCCAGAAGAAATAGATGGTAAAAATTGCTGAATGAATGAATCCAGAATGGCTGAAGAAAGAGGCAGGTCAAAACCAGGTTGACAAGCTCCACCTACCACTCATTTCCCTTCCAGACCTCCTCCTTTTGGCTACCCTTGTCCTCCTAAACCACCTCAGTTTGGCCAGGGTCATACCTGTCTCTGGACCTGCCAAGTGTCTTAGCCAGTCCCAAAACCTGCTGAAGACTGCGGATGACATGGTGAAGACGGTGAGTTAATCCTGTCCGTCTGTCTGGCTTTCAAGCTCAGCTGTTGAAATGACTTCTAACCTATCTGGTATCTGCTGGGAAGCTGTAGTTCATGGGTAGCTGGCAAGAACGGTAGAGGAAACTTTTCAAGACTTCTAAATATAATCTAAAGGAAACTGTGTCTCCAGAGAAAGGAAGAATGGTAATAAATTATAACGGCATTGGTTTGGGCTGTGTTTATACAGAAGAAAGTGGGTACTTACAATGTCCCTCCCAGCCTGCCTGCCTGTATGGCATCATGTCGGGTGTCCCCCCCCCCCCCCCCCGCTTCTGATTCACAGCAGGTGGTACAGGGACAGTCACTAGGTACACAGTCTGTGCTTCACAAGCCATAGGGATGGATTAGATTGTCTCTCCAGCTGCTCACCAGTGTCCAGCACAATGATGCAGTTCCTCGGATGATGGACACATCTCAGGGAGGACTCAGACATCAGATATCATGTCCAGCCTCCATCTTTCTGGGGCAAGTGTGATCCAGTTTTATTCATAGCTCCATTCATTTTTCTCAGGTTTTATATTTGAATGCAAAATAGCCTTTTCTGTTGTAAAATTGCCACGGTTTCCTCTTGATTTTGTGACAAAGCTAAAGCAAAATGCTAATGTGTTTGAGATATTCTGCAGCTGCTGGGGCAGAATTTGGCTTAATTATGAATGAGTACCCGTGTTCTATCCCCAGCAGGGCATGCATGCACTGCACACAGGAACAAAGGAGGAAAGGAGGGAAACTCCTGTCTTTCTGTTGTGGTTTTTAAAGCTTTCTTGAGGATCTTCTAGCTCATTGTTGCATGGCTATCCCAAGATAAAGTCCCCTCCACAAGGTCTCGGTGAATTCCTTTCTTTCCTTCTAATCTTGCATAATGTGCAGCTGGTTGTTTCTCAAAGCCCAAACATAATTAAGTGGGGCTCTCAGGCAGGAGAGATGGACCTGCTCTTCCAGAGCTGGCTGCTCTTCCAGAGGTCCAGAGTTTGCCGTACCCACATGGTGGCTCACAACCATCCATAACTCTGGTCATAGGGAATCTGTCATTTTCTGGCCTCTTTGGGCACTGAGCACATGATACACAGACATACATGCAGGTAGAACATGTGTAGTCATGAAACCTTAAAATTAAGGAAAAACCTTAAGGGAGTTTACCTAAGGAATTCCTGCAGAAAAGGAGAGACTGTTTCCTAAGGTGAGGTTTGGTATGGAGAGGATCAGGTGTTCAAAGTTAACTAGATGCTCCTCACTCCTCTACTGCCAAACATCAGTGCTGGGCTTCAAGGCACAATAGAATTCAACCTTGGCTTAGTTTGGGTCCCTGTTGCGCTCTAGTTGAACTCGGAATCCAGGAAGGCACATCCATCGCTGTGTGTTCTTTGTCACACCCCAGTACCATAGTTGAATGGAAAAGTTATCCCAACCTTCAGTCAGAGAGCTGTTGACTTCTGAATATGTTGTGTAATTCTGTTCTGTGGTGCTTTCCAGCACTGCAGGGAGTAAGAGACAGCCTTCGTGTATGTAAATTAAAGCTCAACTGGTATTTAGGGCTTGCAAGTTTGTTACAGCCTTCAAGCTGTGACTTTAACTGTTTCCCCTTTAGAAGTTATACTTGAAAAAAAGAGATTCATAGGGCACAGCTGCTTGGCAAAAAGGAAACACAACAGGATTCACCAGAAGCAAGCAGCACAGTGTGGCGCTGATGCTGATTAGCACAGCCTGTTGCAACCACCCCAGTGTTCACATGGTGGAAAAAATATCCTGCTGGTAGACAGCCTAAGCAAAGCGGGAGGAAGAGTAGGGAGAGCATGTGGGAGGTCGGTTTCTTCTCATCTTATGAAGAGCCTGAGTTTCCTGCAGGCCAAAGAGACATGGTTCAGAGTGGCCACTCTAGGCTCTGCTGTTCTGCTGGGGTGGCGGTCTCAGAGGGAGCCAGCTAGCTAGGTAAGAGTATCACCTCAGTGTCCCCTTATGGTTTTCCCAGGCCAGAGAAAAACTGAAACACTATTCCTGCACTGCTGAAGACATCGATCATGAAGACATCACAAGGGACAAAACCAGCACACGGGAGGCCTGTTTACCACTGGAACTGCACAAGGTATGGAGGACTCCCCCCAAAACAAGACTAAGAGCTGTGCAGCCAACCTCAGCTGTCCCCAGACATTCACTTGTAGCTATCAAACATGAGATTTTTGGGGGGATGGGGGGAGTCACAACTATACAAATACTTCTACAAGCTGAAGGATATACTCAATAACTGTGAGCTGGGTGTGGTGGTATACTCTTTTAGTTCCAGCACTTAGTGGATAGTGAAAGGCTGGCTTCTGTTAAGTTAGAGGCCAGCCTGGTATGCATAGTGAGTTCCAGCCAGGCCAGAGATACACAACAAGAGTTCATCTTTAAAAGGGAAGGGGGTGGCAGGTGAATCTCAGTTAGTGAAGTGTTCACTCCACTTGCCTGACAACCTAAATTTGGATCCCCAGCACCCATGTGAAATCTGGGTGTGATGGTTTCGTGGGCAGCCTCAGTTCAGGGATAGGAAGAGACAGGAGGATACCTGGGCCAGCTACTCTAGCTGAGTCAACGAGCTGCAGGTCCAGTGAGAGAGCCTGTCAGGAGAAGCGATTGAGAGAGATCATCCTCTGGTTCCCACACGTGCACACACCTGCACACAGGAATACATATCCACACACAAGCAGTTATGATGGTGAAGTTTCTTATGCTTCTTACTGTAATGAAAAGTTAGTTTGAGGGAAAAAATCAGAGAAATTTATATTAAGAATAAACGGCTTGGGAGGTGGTGGTGGTGGTGTATGCTTTTAATCTCAGCTCTTGAAAGGCAGGGGCAGATGGACCTCTGTGAGTTCGAGGCCAGCCTGGTCCACAGAGTAAGTTCCAGGACAGCCAGGGCTACAATAGAAACAGATGATGATGATGATGATGATGATGATGATGATGATATCATCCTTGGTTTATGATTTTCTTCTAGAACAAGAGTTGCCTGGCCACTAGAGAGACTTCTTCCATAATAGTAAGTAAGCAACCGAAAGGTTCCTTCCTCACGATGGAGTCATAACACTAATGCCTGATCATTCTTTCCTCTAGAGAGGGAGCTGCCTGCCCCCACAAAAGACTTCTTTGATGATGGTAAGCCACATCTCTTTTCTGAAATGCAGCAGGGCCTTTAGCTCCAGCCTATCTCAATGGTTCCTTCCCCATTTTGTCCTGCCCTCTAGACCCTGTGCCTTGGTAGCATCTATGAGGACTTGAAGATGTACCAGTCCGAGTTCCAGGCCATAAATGCAGCACTTCAGAATCAGAATCATCAGCAGATAGTACTGGACAAAAACATGCTGATTGCTATTGATGAGCTGGTGCGGGTAAGGCTTCCTCCTATCAGCAAGGGTTGCTTTTTTCATGTTGAAGAGAGGTCCTTTATTAGATATAATAAAATCAGCACATCTTGGGTTGGGAGAGACCCAAGCGTCCCCTCCCTCCTCCATCCCCGACCCGTGAAAGGCCTTGCAAGGTTACATTTGCTAAGACAGCCTTGAGGGGGCCCTCTACAGTAAGGGCAAATGCAAGCAGCCTTCTGCTTGTCGGCCTCATGATACAGATCAGGCTCGTTTCACTTTTTCTCACACCATCCCCACAACAAGCAAATAAGGTCTATATAGAGGTCGAAACCGAAGCGTAAGAGGCTGAACTAAGCATCCTCTACAAAAGTTTGTTTTTTTTAATACGTTCTTCTCTTAAAGGTTCAAGATTAGGACTGGAAAAACAGTCCAGTGATTAAGAGCACTTGCCATGCAACCGTGGGAACTTGAGTTTGGCCTGGGGCTCTTATGTTTCAAACAGGGTGTGGTCTTGAACTGCTCTTTAACTCCAAAGAGTGGAGACAGGAGGAACACGGGGACTTTCTTGCTGAAAGTTTAGCCATGAAACCTCCAGGTTCAGGGAGAGACTCTGCCTCAAAGGACTAAGATGGAGAGTCACATGATCTCTGGCTTCTGCACTGTGTAGGCACAGGTATAATACACGGAAACATACACGCGTCCTTTTAAAAATGTACAGGGTGGACACTCTAGGGGCTGCACACATATTCAAAGATCACTAGGGAAATGCAGTGTCAGGCATCTGTGGGGACAATGGTAGCACAAAGTACAGAAATGTGCACACAGAGAGATGAGCGTCTCGGCAGCTAAGGCATGGGATGAAGTATGTTCAGAGCTCACTGTCTGAAAAGCAATTGTTTTCCATTTCATACATACTGCTTGGGTTAAGGGTTCTATTTCTTTGATAAAACATCATGGCCAAAAGCAAATTAGGGAAGAAAGGGTTTATTTCATTGTATAGAGTGTAGTGAATCTATCATCTAGGAAAATGAAGGCAGAAGCTGACGCTATTGAGGAACCCTGTGACTAGAGTGTTCCACAAGGCTTGCTCAGCTTGCCTTGTATAGCACCCATGACTGCCAGGCCAGGGTGAATTGGGCCCTCCCACAGCAACCATCAATCAAGAAAATTACCATAGGTTTACTCACTGGCCGATCTGGCTGGAGGTGTTTTCCTCAATTGATGTTCCCTCTCCCAAAATGACTCTAGCTTGTGTCGAGTTAACATATAACCACCCAGGACATTATATATTGCCAGATGACTTATCTGAAAGACAGTGAAATTTACACAGGTGTCAAACATCTTACCATGCAGAGATTTGTAATGGATATTGCATGTACAAGCCCAGAAGTCTGGTGATTTGGGTAATAGAAAGAGGTCTACCAGAGACCAGTCAACTGTGTTGACATATTGTAAAATAGGATGACTTGAAACACACACACACTCTCTCTCTCTCCCTCTCTCAAGATTTTGTGAGGAGCAAGCAAAAATCTTAAACATCATAGAAACATACGTTCTTATTCTATGTTATGAAATCAAAGGATTGGGAAACACAGTACTGGCTTGTTTACCTAACACAAATAGCATTTCTATCAGAAGTAATTCTGTTTCTGATAGTGAACTCTAATCCATAGACCAGCCCCCACCCCCAGCTCCCTCTTCTAAAAGAACAGGGCTCCTTAACACAACTTATAAAAAGTAATTAGAAATTGTTGCAGATGCCACCTCATAGACTCATACCTTCTGAGAGACCAGCCCTAATGATGATTTTTTTTCTGGGCAGTTTAGGGGTCTTGTCAGAGATCATTAAAGACCTAGGTGTGTGCTCACAAATGAGAATTTCTTCCCTCTTTTCCTGCGGGAACACAGCAGGAGTAGATGTAACTAGGGACTAGGTTGCAGGCCCCGGACTGTGCATTGACTGTATCCACTGTTTTGCAGACAAATGTTTTAATTTTTAAATTGTATGTATGCTATGCTTGGCTTTTCTTTGTAGTCTCTGAATCACAACGGGGAGACTCTGCTCCAGAAACCTGCCGTGGGAGAAGCAGATCCTTACAGGGTGAAAATGAAACTCTGCATTCTCCTCCACGCCTTCAGCACTCGAGTCATGACTATCAACAGGGTGATGAGCTATCTGAGCTCCTCCTGAAAGGCTCAGAGCCCTCCCCCACAGCGCCCTCCTCCCAAAAATAGGTTAGTAAGAGGCGGGTTAAGAATCAGGAGTTCTTGGTCTGGTTGACCTTCAGCTTCCACAGGAATCTCTTCTCCTGTCACATTCCTCAAAGGTGGCACAGCTACCTCAGCATGGTCCTCTCCAGCATGTCTCTCACAATTACTATACAAGTTGTTTGTAAGTTTTTATCAAAATATTGTTAAGGGGAGAATATGTCCTCCCTTAAAGTGTCAGCAGAAGAGCAAGAACTGATAAGCTATTATTTTTGTGCCAAAGTGTTTTTGAAAACACTCAGTCACCCCTTATTTAAAATATTTATTGTTATATTTTATACTCATGAAAGTATATGAGCCTATTTATATTTATTTATTTTCTATTTATTATAATATTTCTTATTATGAATTTGAAACATTTTGAAACATACCTTATTTTGTGGTTCTAATAAAGTAATGCAAGCACTTCACAGATGTTCTTGGAGTATCTATTTATCTATCTATCTATCTATATATATATATATTATTTATTTAATTACTTAAACACGGTCTCACTGTGTAGACCAGGTGGCTTCTGACTAATACTGATCAGATGGTCTCTGCCTCCTGAATGCTAGGGTCAAACCTGTTATCACTTTGCCCAGCTAACTAGAGTATTTAAAATGCTCTGAGACACACTGCAAGAAAACTGTCTTAGTTTGCACTCTATTGCCCTGATAAACAAACACCATGACCAAAAGAAACTGGGAGGAGGGGCATGTGTCATGTTACAGCTTATAGTCCATCACTGAGGGTCATCAGGGCAGAATCCTGGAGGAAGGAACTGATCCAGAGAGGATGGAGGAATGCTGCTTGCTGGCTTGCTCTCCATGGCCTGCTTAGCTGGCTTTCTTATACAACCCAGGACCACCAGACTAGGACTGGCACTACCCACAGTGTGCTGGACTCTCCCACATCAATTATTAATGAGGAAAATGCCCCCTCAGACTTGCCTACAGGTCAATCTGATGAAACATTTTTTTAATTGAAATTCCATCTTCCTAGATGCCCCTAGTTTGTGTCAATTTGACAAAACAAACAAACAAAAAAACAGCACAAAAATTCTGATGACATTTGAACAAAATAATCTTGAAAAGATGTCCACAACGGGGCTCGGGGGATGGCTCAGTGGGCAAAGTGTTCACCTCACAAGTGTGACAAGCAGAGTTCAGATACCCAGAATTCAACCTGTAACCCCAGTGTTCATCAGGCCGACTGGAGACTACTGAAGCAAGCTGGGTGAGTTGACAGGCCGGACTGATGAACTCTAGATCTGAGTGAGGCACCAAGCCTCAGTATACAAGGTAGCAGGTAATCAAGAAAGACACTCAGAAACAGCCTCGGGCCTCCACACCCGTGTGCACATGTGCATGCACACACCTATGCGTCCACACACATTTGCACACATTATACAAGCACATATCACAGATATATACATGAAAAAAATGGCCAAAGTGTTCTGACTCATTTCCCAGTCCCCTTAATCATGTTTTTGCTGGGAGACCAGGCTAGCCTCAATACTCAAGTGGCTGTGTGAATTACAGCTTTTAAGGATTACTTTACTATTTCTGTTCAACATTTGAATCTCAAAGTAAAACATACAGAAATGTTCTTTCTGAAAACCTCAGGCCATGACCTGCTGTGCATTAAACAAATACATTATCATACTCTTCAACTTGGAAAAAGTGTCCTATGAGGCTCTTTAAATTATTCTAATTCGTGTGACCCTTTGGGCTCTCCGAGGGACACCCTTTTTAAATTACAAACAGAAAAACTCTCTACTTGTCTAAATTATAGAGAATGCTTTCCTAAACCCCATGTATAATTGACTTCCTTTGGTTTAAGAAGTGTCTTCCTTCTGGTCTTAGTATTAATTCTATCTTTCTAGTTCTTTAAGCCATGTGAATTTAAACAGAATACCACATCATTCAGTTCTGGGATTCAATTTGGTCCTTCCTAATAGAAAGGGGCTCTTAGGCCTTTATTTAGAGAGGTGCCTTTTCTAAGTTGTTTCTTCCCACCAGGTACCCCATTCATCTACAGGGGTCCAGAGGAAAATAAGTGTGGCCTCTCCTCTGTGACAAACTTACTGTACAGATTCTCACTCTCTACCCATCATCAGACAAAATCGTTGGAGGCCAGATTCACCAAAGAGCTGGGTAGCTGCATGCTCTTCTCAGGCAGGGGCTCCCCCCAGGCAGGGGCTCCCCCCAGGAAGGCTCAGGTCACAGTGACTCTCACTAGCTGTGGAGTAGCTGGCTATTCCTTCTTGAGAATGACACCTGTTGTCTACCTCCTCTTTGCATCAGACCAGCAAGAGAAAATCTCCTCCTCCACAGACTTGTGTCTGTGTAGATGAACGCACTTGTTACATTTGCCCTAGGCATTAACATGAGATGTGCTTCAAATAATGACTGGAGGTAAACTAGGTGGTACATGCTTGCAATCCCAACACTTGGGAGGCTACAACAGGAAGGTTATGAGTTCAAAATCAGCCTAAGCTTCAGGCCAAGACTATATCTCAGACAAAAAAAAAAAGGCAAATCCAAATGGCCCAAGTGAGATATTCATGACAAATTCTATTCCTCAATCCATAGTTCTCATGTCTTCCTCGACATGTACAGTAATGTGTTTGTAGTCTGACCAAGTGTTTTAGTGGCTCCCTCCCTCTGCCCTATTCCAAGAAATGAAAATAACACTCAAAGTTGCCTCCAAGGATCAAAGTGATGGTTAAATAAAATGATTTGCCTGGCCCTCAGTGTACAACAAATCTTAGAAAAGTTTAAGGGTTATTACTCGTCTTTGGGGATGGCAACTCAGACAAAGTAATTAAACCCTCGGCTATGTTTTCATTGGTAGAATTTAAGAGAGTAAAGCCAAATTCACAGAGTTACTGTAGGATTAACTGAAACAGTGGTGCAGCCAGGTGTGGGCACACAGGCCTGTAATCCCAGCGCTCGGAAGTAGATGCAGAAGCGTCACAAGTTCAAGGCCAGCGTTTACTTCACGTGAGTTTGTCACCAGCCTGGGATAAAGGAGACCTGTCTCAAAAGCGCACATACAATAAATAAATGAGACACTGCCGGTGCCTAATAGGTGCTCCAAATCAAACTGTTAAGCTCTGGGGTTATTGCCTTCAATACATCTCACAGGTCTCACCAGGCAGGGCCAATGAGGTGGCTTAGCAGACAAAAACACTGGACCCTCCAGGGCACTCAGCTAGAGTGAGAATGTGCTCAGAAAAAAGGCTGCCTGGGAAGGATGCTGGCAGAAGGCAAAGTCCCTCCCTCCAAGAACAAAGACTGAAAGCCTGAACTTTTCAGACCAAATCCTTCAGCTTAAAACCACTCCCGAGCACTGCCCATAGAGTCCCCTTGACCTCAATGCTCCACTAAAAAGGAAACAAGCCTAACCAAGCCTCTGACACAGAGAAGGATCCACCTGAGAATCCCAAGAATCAGCATGGAAAACACGGGGATGGAAGCCACTTACTGAGGGTCCTCAGAACTGGGGAAAGAGGCCTGGTCATGTGTGCAAAGGAAGATTTGGAAAACTCAAGACATGCCAAAGGGTCCTCGATCTCCCAAGGAAAAATGAAATCACAGAAATAAATGGGGAAACTCAGTTTAATGTGAGGCCATCCCCACATCCACCACAGACACTTTGGGCTGTGTCATCAGGCACTTCTGGTGTCCCTTTACAGTCAACATTTCTTCCCAGCTAGCATCATTGTGACTTCATGATTTAACCTAAAGTACATATAAAATTTAAAATCAAAAAATCCTGCTACGTCTTCTGAAAATTTAATTGTGTATACCTGAAATGCATGCATGCTGCATGCATAAATACACACACACACACACACACACACACACAGTGGCACGTGTCTGTAATTACAGTTACTAAGGAGGCTGACAAAGGTGGGTCTCTTGACTCTGCAGCATACTGGAGTGAAGCTTAGCCTTGACAACACAAAATTTGTCTCAATTTTTTTCATTAATAATTCATATTACATTTGTTTATTGTGTGTGTGCACATGCATGTAAGCATGCCATAGGACTCTTGTGAAAGTCAGAGGACAACTTTCAAGAGTTGGCTCTATCCTTCCACCATGTAGGTTCTGGTGATCCACCTCAGGCCATCAGCAAAGCACCCTTCCTTACCTGCTGAGCCATCTTTCTGGGCCTCAAAAGGTTTTGTAATTAAATGTTTACCAACAAGTTCACTAAAATGTATTTGTTGAAAAAAGTCTTCAGTGGGATCTACATATCCTTTAAGTCTGATAATAAAATATTGATATAAGGTATAGGGTGCATACTTATAATTGGACCATTAGGCAACTGAGGCAGGAGGATTACAAGTTAGAGGACCCAGAACAGACTATTTAGTGAGACTCCACCTTGCTAATAAAATAAAATGAACAGATAATAAGTTTTTTAAATCAAATTTCAGTGGGAACAGAGGGTGTGGCTCTGTGCACCATGGAAGAAGCCCCAGGCTTAATCCAGCACCAAAATGTGTCAGGTGGAGGACTGTTAACTAGGCTCTCGATACAACGTCAGGTAACACATTTGTGGAATCCTTTTCAGTTGAAAACTTAGCAGCTAACTCTTTGAGTGCAGTGTGTCCTTGCTCACACCACTCTACAGAGGAGCCTGAGCCTTGGAAGCCTGTCGGTGTGTCCTTGCTCACATCACTCTACAGAGGAGCCTGAGCCTTGGAAGCCTGTCGGGTCTCACGGTGGTTAAGTGGCAAATGCTCATTTGTACAAGTGAATCCAAGCACACGCCTCCAAAGGAGCATTCTCTGCCCATATCAAAGTCACAGTAAGTCCTCACAGTGACCGAGGCTTCTGGGCTGCATCACTTCCCCAAAGAACTTCAAGTACAGAAAGTGTCACATTACTTATATATGTGTGTGTGCCTCTAGCTCCTGGCACTCAACAACAGGAGCAGAAAAGGAAGTGCTGCGGGAGAAGAAGCTGAAGGAAAGGAAGTCCAATGACTGGCCCAACTTGGGATGCATCTCCTGACGGGGGTGGGGTGGGGGGTGGGGGTGGTATGATGGCGGGGATTGGGGGGTGGGGGGGTGTATAGAAGGGGAAGTACCAAGACCTGACACTGCTATGCTATGTTGTGTTTACAGAAGGGAGCCTAGCATGGCTGTCCTCAGAGAGGTCCTACCAGCAGCTGACTGAGACAGATGTGGATACTTACATCCAACCATTGGACAGAAGTAGGGGACTCTTATAGTTGAATTAGGGGAAGGTTGGAAGAAGCTGAAGGGGAGGGTGACCCCATAGGAAGACCTGCAATCTCAACTAACCCAGACCCCAGGGAACTCCCAGAGACTGAGCCACCAATCAGGAGAGTATACAGGCTGGTCCAAGGCCCCTGGCACATATATAGCAGAGGTCTGCTGGTCAGGCCTCAG